CAGAAAACAGAGCAGCCAGTGAGCCAAGGGGAAGGGCCGCTGCAGCGGCAGGAGGCGCAACCTGGCCCAGCTAGCACAGCAGCTCCGAGGCGGCCTGGTGGCTGGGGCACCCGGGGCAAGGAGCTGCTCAGCAGCACTGCAGACGCTGAGGCCAGAGGCGCCCACGGAGGGTGAGCAGGCAGTGTGGGGACTGGCCCCCAGTGAAGGGGGCCTGGCCCCGGGACCATGGGTCCCTTCCTTCAGGAGCATCTCGGCCCTGCTGGAAAGTGGCGCTGGAGGGTGGGCTTGCGCAGGGAGAGGCAGCTCCACGCACTCCGGGCGGGCGGGCGGGTGGCCCGCTGGCCTGGTAGGAGGGGAAGCAGGAGACCTCCCTCGGCCTGAAAACACCCTCCTGGCCCACGTGGTGCTGCTGAGTGACAGCAGAGATAGCACTGGCCAAAGCCACACACGTGGAGCGTTCAAACGTGCGAGAAGGGCTCCAGGGCCTGGGTTTGAGCCCAGAACCACAAAGCGGAGGAGGAGGGCAGGCAAGTGGGGTCACGGGAGGGAGAACTATGGGTGCAGAAGGACCCTCACAGAAAAGGGTGGCTGTGACTCCATGGAGCGGCGGCAGCGTGGAAGTGGAGGAGGGTGCCTGGCGTGGCCACCTTAGTCAGCAGACAAGGCTGTGGCGATGCGCCGCTGGAGAGAAAGGGGCTGAGGGCTGCTTGCGTCTTCGCCGGTCTCAAAGGATTGAGCCACCAGTTATTTCTCAGTCCCCGAGGGGACACGCTATCAGGAGCGGCTCCGGGTGACAGCACCCTCCTCAAGCGAGCAAGCTCAGTGTCCCGGGCCGCTGGAGTCACGAGCGGGGCAGGAAGGTCGGTCCCTGGGCCGTGTCCACCCTGACACGCTTAGCCCGCAGGACTCAGGAGGAAACCAGACAGCTCACAGGACAAGGGGCTCCGACCCTCCCCAAGTGCACTGGCAGGAAGGACACAGAACAGCGTAGGGAAAGGTTTGGGCCTAAAGGAACCAAGAGCACGACACGCAGGCCTTAACTTTGCTCGGTCCCAAATCAAGACAAAGACATTAACAATAGCAACAGAACGGGCTTCTGGCCAAAGCACCATGACGAGACAAATTTAAGTTCCCACCTGCGGACAGACACTGGCCCCAGTAACCCGTGCAAGCGGCCATCAGGCAGCCCAGAGAGTGCTGCCCAAGACACGGGAAGCGCAGGACGTGGCCCTCGGACGGGGGCTTCCTGCTTTCAGAGCGTTTCCAGCGAGGAGGATCGAGGAACAGGAGGGCCGAAGCAGGCAGAGACCGGTGTCCCCACCAAGGAAATGGAGCCGCGGGTCCAGGAAATCCCCAGTGGCCCTGGCCACAGGCTGGGTGTGAGAAGCGAAAGGGCCCGGGGGCAGGGTCTGTGCAGCCGGGTGTGGGGCTGGGCGGGAGGGGCTGGAGTTCGGGAAAGTGCAGTGAGCGATGAGTGCAAGGGAGGAGGCAGCGTCTGGGCCTGGGAACAGCAAGGGGCACGCCCGCCCGAGGACCCGAGTGCCCCATGGGGCAGGAGCACGTCTGCCCTGCAGCCGCCTGGACCCTGCTGGATTCAGGGCCTCGTGCCCAGTTCTCCAACTAGCAGCTGTGAATGAGGAGGTCCAAGTGAGTGCCAGTTTGTAATTCTCCTACAATCTTCCCTAATCCTATATGCACCAGATAGGGATAATCTGAAAAACCAGGCATGGTGTAGCGGTGCACACCTGTAATCCTAGCACTTGGGTGGCTGAGGCAGGAGAATGACTTTGAATGAGACTACCGTGGGCTGCAAAGTAAGCTCAAAAGTAGCCTGAATTGCACAATGAAACCCTATCTCAAAAATTTAAAAAAAGAAAAAATATACACAGACATTCTTTATACCTGAATGTAACAATTTCATTTGTAAAAATAAATATAAAATGTTGCCTTGGGCTGGGGATTTAGCCCAGGGGCACATCGCCTACCTTGCAAATGTGAGGTCCCGAGTTCAATCCCCCATGCCTCCCCACACAAAAAACCCCTGTGTTTGGGCTTACCAGGCAGTTGCTTAAGCTGCTGAGCTGTCTCCTGGCCTGGGGCTGGAGAGGTGGCTCAGTAGAATAAGCGCTTGCCTGGCAAGCACAAGGGCCCAAATTCAATCCGTAGTTCTGAAAAAAGAAAAAGATACTTCACTCCAGGAACCAAATTGGAACCCTATTTTTACGTGAAAACAGGCAAGGGCTCCAACACAGAAAGACAGCATGGTTGAGGATCCGCGTGGAAGGACAGACTGCGGATAGGGACACGGGCCTGGGGGACTGAGGCGCATGCAGTCTGGGCTACCCCGACCGGGACGGCAGGTCCGGCAGCGGCCGGAAGCTGTCCACGCAGAGCTCCTCCCTGCCAGATCCCCGCCGGGCACGTCCTCCAAGTGCAGAGAAAGCCGGATGGGCGACCTCACGCCAGGGTGCTCGTCCCCACGCACGCACAGCGCCGAGTACTGGGGACAGGGCAGCAGCGCCGGCGTGCTCCCGGGAGAGGAATTCTGTCTCCAGGCCGCCCTCTGCCCAGGCCCCATCCATTCCGATTTCAGGGCTTCCTGTCTGTGCCGGGAAAGCCGCGCGTGTCTGCGGCCCTGCCTGCGCGGAGCCCCGCGTCGGTGTCCCCGCTCTGTTCCAGCCCTGACGGTAACATGATCAGAGCCCACTTTTTCATTTCACCTGCACTTGGAAATCGAACTGGGCGCAGCCCCCGCACCCGGGCCTGTGCCAGCCGGCTCCTGGCCGGGACGCGCCGCCTGCTGACCTTCTCAGGGAGCGGCAGGAAGCCAAGGTGTCGCAGGCCCAGAGGGAGCTGGAGCAGGGGGGACCGGACACCTCCGTGGGCGAGCACACAGGGTCCCAGGGCCAGCAGAGGCGGCCGCAGGAGCAGTGGAAGGTGAGGACCCGCGAGGTCTGTGTGCAGTGTCCGTCTGTCCGTCCGTCCTAGAGCTGGGAAACCAGGCCTCCGCCGCTCCCTCGTCCCAGCCCCATAGCCTTGGCCGAGCCCCTGAGCCGGCTTCGCTGCTGGGGAGCACGAGGGAACCAACCCCGCAGACGGCAGAGTCCTGCGCGCCAGAGGGGACGCGGGGCCCCAGCCTGCCGCAGCTTCCAGGCACAGAGGGGACGCGGGGCGCCGGCCTGCAGCAGCTTCCAGGGCTGCTGCCGCCCCCCAAGCAGGGCGGATCAATGCTGGTGTTGGTGCTTCCCTCTCCCCCTTTAACCAACTCCTCCCAACAGCCTTTCCCCGTCAGCGCAGGCTGGGCCTGGGCTTCTCTCGGGCCGAACCCCGGTGCTACACACTTGCTGTGTCCGGGCTGCCTGTCTCAAGGGTGAGGCAGGGCTCCAGGAAGCCGGGCACAGCGCTCTCCCCTGCTGTGGGCCCATCATTTTGGTTTTGCTTTTCCCCACTCCTGTGTACTGAACTCAGGGCCTTTGTACTGAGCGACATCCCCAGCCCTTTTTTCATTTGAAGCAAGGCCCAAGTTTCCAGGTTGTCCAGGCGGGTATTGAACTTGAGATCCCGCGGCCTCAGCCTCCCGCACCGGAGGTCCCATGGGCACATATGCACACACACAACTCACGCCACTGAGCAGCACTCACTCCACTCCACTCTCTGGATAACTTAACACAAGACACGCAACCCCTTTCCCAAAGACTAGGTCCACTGAGGAACCCCGCGACAGGCAGGAAAGGCATCACCAGCTCAAAGCTGCCCTCTCCTTTGAAACCAAATCTCACACAGACAGCAGTCAGTCAGACTCTTCCTGACCCTCCTCCTCAGCGCAGATGTCACAGCTTGTGATCAGGTCAGGACAAGCCTGGAGTCCCGAGCTCAGCTGTGTGCGGGGTGCAGGGGCCCCAGTGGCACGGAATGACAGGTCCCCTCCCCAAGCTGCTGTACCCTGTGGGCACCCTGGGTTTGTCCCAGGTAATCCATGTGAACCCCCAGCTGTTAAGGGCCCTTCTGCATAGTTGGGGGAGGTACTTCATAATTAAATTCATCAGGGCGGGGCTGGAGAGATGGCTCAGTGGTCTAAAGCACCTACTTGGAACAAGCTTGGCAAAGCACAGGGACCACGGTTCGATACCCCAGCACCGCATGCCAGCCAGCTGCGCCCCCTGGTGGGCTGAGCTGGCCACACACACACACACACACACACACACACACACACACACACAAAATAAATGTTAAAAATAAAAAAATAAATTTAAAAAAAAAATAAAAAAAAAATAAATTCATCAGGGCTTCTAGTGCACAAGAACTAGAATCCTGTCGTGCTGACCCCTGTGGTGTGCAGACAGCGCCATGTGCCTCAGGTCGCGGCTGAGGCCTCGAGGTCCCATGGTGTGCTGTGACCTGTGGCGGCCCAGGGCAAGGTTACCTCAGCTGGCCGTCCTGGTTCCTTAGGAACTGGGCAGGAATAAAAGGGTTCCACCTTGGGAAAAGGTCAAACTGATGGAGCTGCCATCTCCACGCACCGTCTTCAGCCACATAAAGATCCATCCGCAGCCGAGCCGTGATGATCTGCTCACGTCTCCTCCTCCTTGTGGTCAGTAAATACCGAGTTCTGGCTGCCTTGTGGCCTTTGTTCCCCATGAGCAACTGCTCACCCAGAGGTCTGTGGCATCGCCATTTTGTCTTTTGCAGATTGGGGTCCACTGCCAGGTCCCCCACACCAAGCAATGACACGTAGTATGATCCAGAAGTACCATAATTTTTTTTTTATAAGACAGCACCCCAAATGCCCCCGAAGTCCTCCTCGCCTGACACTCGTCCATGGCTCTCGGGCTTTCTGCAGCACGTCTAGAACCCTCTTTCCCAAACGCCCCGCCGCCTCCAAGTCCTGAATGGATTCCAGATGCCTCCCATCCGTGGTCGTTTTGATGCTGGGGAAGAGCCGGAGTCCAGAGCGCTAGCTCCATAAGGTGATGGAGCACTATTTTTATCACACGTGGTGAACTCTTCCACCAGGAAGTGGGGCTTTTAACAGGTAATTGGGGCACAGAGACAATCCTCTTGAATGTGACTAGTGCCATCATCAAAGAGGCCTGAAGCCTGGCATGGTGGCACACCCCTGTGACCCCACTGTTACAGGACGCTGAGGCAAGAGTACTGCAAATTGGAGACTAGGCCGGGCAACACTCATCTCAAACACAAACAAGCTGAGCACAGCCGAGCACGAAGGCCCTGGGTTCCATCCCAGTGCTGAAAAAGGAGAAGGAAACGGGGGCAGCAGAGGGAGCGCCGGAGCAGCACCTGCCCCGCCAGCGCACGTGAGCCCGCGCTCGGTCCCCAGCAGCACAGGGAGGAGCACAGGAGTTTACACACACAGCTGCGAGCAGAGCCCCCGTGGAGCCAGCGCTGACTCGGGCAGCACTGCTCCGCGCCAGCAGCACTGCATGGGGAGCCGGCGCCCACCTAGCCCTCCGCGCCCCGCAAGCCGGCGAAGTCCTGCAACAGTGCCTGCGCCTCTGCGCGCCGGCTCAGCTTGCTGGCCTTGCCCTGGAAGCGGCCTTTCTTTCCTGCTCCTTTGCCTTCCATGACCTCAGCCACCCTGTGGAGCAGAGAGGGCTTTGGGGAAAGGCGCAGCAGCAAAGGGCAGCCCGGCGCTGAGGCTCCCTGAGACCCTTCTCCAGACCACAGCAGGACCAGGAGGAGGAAGGGCTTGGGTTCTGTGCCCGGAAATGCAGACACCAGGGGGAGGGAAATGTTCCCGGGCCCCTGCTCAGCCCCCGCTGAACACACAGATGCCCATTACTGCACGGTGGCCCAAACAGGTATGTATATCTACATACAAAGGGTTTGAGCCAGGCATGATGACCCACATCTGTAAACCCAGCACTCAGGAGGCTGTGGCAGGAGGACTGCAAATTTAAGACCAGCCTGGGCAACTCAGCAAGACTCTATCCCAAAATAAAGAATAAAGGGGCTGGAAGTTGGACATGGTGGCACACACCTGTAATCCCACCACTCAGGAAGCTGAGGCCGGAGGACTGCCCCAAATTCAAGGGTAGCCTGGGCTACCTAGTGAGTTCTAGGCCAGTGAACTACATAGCTAGATTATTACAGAAAAACAAAAATAAGCGGGGATGGGGATGGGGCTAGAGCTCAGTGCAAGGGCCTTGATTTAATCCCCAGGATCAGAGAACAAAACAACCTGCCCCACCGCCCCCTGATAGCGTGGGCCCTAGATTCAGGTACCATCCATGATTCCAAACTTCTAAAAATAGACTGTGAGCATGGGAGACCTGGGCCCCAGGACTCGGTCTTCGGCTATGAGCGCTCAGACGAAGACACGAGGCCCCTGCGTGGCCAGAGCCTCCCGCACTGGCCTTGGTGACAGCTGTGGCCCCACCACCCACCAGGCCCCCAGAGCCTCACCGGGGTCCCAGGGTCTCCACGGCCATGGGGGGCCCAGCCAGCAAGAAGAGGCCAGCACCCTTCTCATCTCCTACGGTCAGGAACAGGAGGGTGTCCTGGGAGGGGACAGACAGCCTGAGTCCTTGCAGTGCATGGCCCACCTGGGCCTCCCAGCTGCACCCTGGTCCCTGCCCAGTCTGACCCCCAGCCCTGCTGCCTCTGGTGCCCACTGCTGGGAGCTACAAACGTCCTCACCCCTCCCACGGCTGCCCCTGCCACCCTACCTCGGCCCCAGCCTCATTGGCGATGATGTTCATGAATTCAGAATCACCGTCCTTCCTGCGACAGGACATGGGCCTGAGAGCCAGCTCAGAGGCCGCTTGGAGAAGGGGCGCGGGCTGAGGGCCAGCATGCTGCGCCTGGCCTGGGTGAGCTGAGCCCGTGCAAGACTCCAGGCACCAGGGGTCCCCGAGGCTGGGAGGTCCCAGTGAGGAGGGGACAACCAAGCCCAAGAGAGTCGGCCACCTCAGGTCCCGGAGTCCCCAGGGCACCCAGGACAAGCTGAGCGACCACCCGCCTCTCACCTGTGCAGCGCCACGACCCCGCCCCAGGCCGGGCTGGCCCTCAGGCTGCGGGCCACGTGCACAGCCAGGTCTCGCAGCAGACTCAGGTTGTTCTAGAGTGCAGACACAGCACGTGGACGGCAGGAAGCACCGCAGGGCGCAATCTCCCTGACCTCACCGTCCCTCCCGCCCCCGCAAGCACAGCAGAGTCCACTTCCGGTTGGGGCCCGCCCGCTCCGCCCAGACCAGTCACCTTCTGCAGGAGCTTCACAGAACCCTGGAGCTTGGTCACCGCCTGCTCGTGGTCCTCAGCCCCACACCTGCGGGACAGGAAGGGGGCGCCTGATGCTGGCCTGGGTGCTGGGAGACGGGGAGGGACGGAGGGGGACGGAGGTCTGGGCTGGCTTCCCTCAGACTGCTGTCCACCCTGAAGGAGCACAGCTAAGAGGCCCGGACAGGATGGCGCTGGGGCAGGGACGGGATTTACTTGAGCAGCGCGGTCAGAGCCTTTTCCCTCGCGTGACTCCGCTGTACCCACTGCAGCACGCGCTGCCCGGCCAGGAAGAACAGGTTGGTCTTGTTCTTCTTCCCCTTCTCGGTGCCGAGGATCTTGATGACCTAGGAAGGGGCCGAGGAGATGGCTCAGCAGAATAAGTGCAGGGGCCTGAGTTCAATCCCCAGTTCACCAAAAAGAAAAAAGGGCCACAAGACGCTTGCACACGCATGCCCGCGCACACACAGCCCAAGGGGAGAGCTGAGCCCCCCACGCCCACCCCCAGCTCAGGCCCGCGCCCACCTGCAGGTCGCTGAGGTTGCTCACGTGGGTCCCGCAGCACATGTTGGCATCCACACCCTCAATGGTCACCACGCGCACGGGCCCGGCGTGGTCATCTGGCAGGCCCCGGCCCCGCACCTGTTCCACCTCGGGGTCGTCGGCGCTCAGCTCGCGCACGCTCACGGGCAGCCGCGCGCGGATCTTCTCGTTCACGTGCTGCTCTATCGTGGCCACCTGCTCGGCGCTCACGGAGGGGCTGTCCAGCTCGATGGAGCTCCGCAGCCGGCCCAGCTCCCTGCCAGGAAGCGAGGTGCTACCTGCTGGAGCCGCTCACCCCCGCACAGAGAGCACGCAAAGCCGCTCGGGCTGACCACCTCTCTAATCCTCACAAAAGCCCGACGACGGCGACGACGACGGCCAGGCACTGTGAGGCACACCTGTCACCCCAGTGCTCTGGGAGGCTGAGGCAGGGGGATCCCAAGTTCCAGCCCAGCCTGGGCAACTTGGTGACTTAAAGTAAAAAAACGGCTGGGTATGTCACTCTGAGCAAAGGCCCTGAGCTCAGTCCTCAGCACACCATAAGGTGGGGACCGTCCTTCCCAGCTCACAGTAAGGGCATCAGGACATGATCAAAGCCACATCGGGAGAGTGGCATGGCCAGCACAGGCCTCAAACCCCAAGTTCTCCCAATCAAAGGCAGACATCCCTTCTGTTGGCCTTGTGTCCCCTAAGCAAGTGGAAGAGGTTGCCCCCCTCTGATCATCCACATGAGGAAAACCTGTCTCCTGACCCGGGGGGATGGGGATGGGTGTTGGGGACCACTCCAGAGGGTCCTGTGGCCCTGCTCACCACGAGGTTGTCTTCAGTCCAAACAGATGCTCAGCAACGGCAGTGATGAGATGTTGCCCTAGGTGACAAGACCAAGGGACAGGAGAGAAGTGAGGTGTCCCCCAGGCACCGTGGTGGCACGTCTGTGACGCGGCACCGGAGGCTGAGGCTCTACAAGGTCCTGGCTGAGCACCTGCGGCCCAGCACCACAGCCGCATCCCTGAGACGCCAAGGGGCCCTCGCACGAGAGCGGCCTCGGCCACCGGCCTGCTGAGGTCAGATCTCCACCCCAGCCCCTTTTTATTACATATGTTACCAAGTAATTAATTGTGATGAACACCTGATGAAGGACTACTGCGTTTAATACAAAAAGTGTGTGCAAAGCAATTAAAACTCTGCAGATCAGTACTTAGAACATAATGTGGACAGAATTACAATAGTGGCAGACAGCTGGAAAGTTTATCTCATGCTAAGCTGAAATGAAAAATAAAACAAGGAAAATTTAAGTCTACACTTTTGATTTTGGTACATGTTCTTAAATAAATTTAGGGGCTGGGGAGATAGCTCAGCTGCATAAGCGCCAGCCTGGCAAGTGCAAGGTCCTGAGTTCAATCCCAAGTACCAAAATAAATAGATAAATAAATTTAAAACTCTAAATTGAGAAGATTTTTTTTTTTTTTTAAATTTAGTACAAGGTCTACAGGGAGGAACAGAAGACAGCAGCTATGAGGGCAGAGGGAAAGGGCAGCCAGGGCTATCAAGGGCAAAGGGACCTTGCCAGGGCCAACACAGGGCAGTGCAGGCCGGGTGAGCTCCCTCAGCCTGCAGCGGGAAGGCGCCCCACCTGCGGCAGTATCTGGGGCGCGAGGGGGCAGGGGAAGCGCAGGCTCAGATCCCCTAAGTTGAGGCCAGGTTGGTGCCCAGTGCCTGGAAACAACAACAGAGGGGGGCCGCCCCAGGGAGGCATCCAGGTGACACAGCTGCCACAGGGTGCTAAGGAAAGACCCCGGGGCGGGCGGGGAGCGATCTCATTGGAGACAGCCAGGTGGAACTGTGGAGGCAGACATGGCGACCCAAGGCCCTGAGTTACGCTGATCCTTTCATTTTCAATTGTTTCTGTTGCTTTCATCCAACCTGTCACATCCTGCTAAATCCCAGCAGAGTCCAAAGATGGGTCTCTCCCAGGTTGGCTCCAAGAGACCCCACACTACATTCCGATCACTGCGGCTGCCGCCTGCGCCCGCTGCCCTTACCCGAGTGCTGCTGCATGTGGTCAAAGCGCCGCTCCCAGTCCACACGGACCCGGACCTGGCTCCCGGGGGCCAGCGGCGTCATCGTGAAGTGCTCGGCTTCAGCCCCGCGGCGGGTCACTCTCAGCACAGGGATGTTGTCAATCGTACCCCGGTCATCAGGCTGGACAAGCACAAACGCAGCTGACAGGAAGCCAGCACCTGCCCTCCTGCTGCAGGGAAACAGCGTCCCCTGTGGCCCGCGAGGGGCGCCCCTGAGCTGCGGTACAGTCTGCTCTAGGTACAGCAGCGAAGGCTTTCCTAGTGTGGATTCCTTTCTTTATGAACCTCCAAAATGTCTGAGCAGGGGAACGCATGCCTGTAATCCCAGCCAGCCAACAGGCTGAGGCAGGACAACCCCAAGCTAGAGGTAACTCTGCCTCCGAGTTTAAAACAAAAGAGTCTCTAAAATGATCTGAATCTTGCTGCCTCTCACTACTCCGTACTGTCCCTCACTACCAGCATAAGACTCAAGAATATTGATTCCTAGGGACCAGGGAGACCGCTACCGCAAGGGCCTGACTTCAATCCCTGGTACCCCTTGGGGGGGAAAAAAAGGGATACAATGTAATCACGACAGGGTCGCCTGGGGCAGACCCAGAGCTGGGCTGCTGCAGCGGGACCTGGCAAGCCTTTTAGTTTTCGCGTGCCACAGGTCGTCTGTGCCTGGCCACGATACGCGAAAGCATGCGCCGCTAGAGAAGCGCAAAGGCCGCTGCAGCCCCGAGGGCCGGCAGGACGCCCGGAGGGCGCAGCGAGGCTCCAGAGGAGGAAACCTCCGCCGGGCAGGACGCCCACCCGCGTGCGCCCCCCGCGCCCCCCGCGCCCCCCGCGCCCAGCCCCCGCGCCCGCAGCTCCTCCCGAGCCCCGCAGCGGTTCTCCCGCCCTTCCCTGGAGCCACCCGGAAGCGCCCCGGCCGGTACCTGCCCGCCGCCCTCGGGGAAGAGCAGCGTGTCCTCCAGCACCACCTGGAACCCGCGCCGCGCCGCCTGCGGGTCCTCGCCCGCCCCGGCCGGCAGCTCCGCGGGGCGGCAGGCGACCACGACGGTGGAGAACTGGCGGCGGGACGAGAGTCAGTCGCCCCCGCCCAGCCGGCGCCCCCGCCCCCGCCCCCGCCCAGCCGGCGACCCGCCGCACCTCCCGCGCGTAGCTGTCGCGCTGGCACTGGAACGCCATCGCGACCGGACTCGAGGCCGCCGACCCGAGGGCCGACGGGGAGCGGCAGGGGACAAATGCCGTCCGCCGCGCGTGTGCGCAGGCGCGGAGGCGGGGCCGGAGGCGCAGGGACGAGCGGCAGGCGCGGAGGCGAGGGGAGGGGCGGCGGGGGCGGGGCCGGAGGCGAGGGGCGGGGCCACAGGGCGGGGGCGGGGCCAGCTCGAGGCTCGGCCGCTGTTCCTGAAAACCCGGTGAGGGCGTGCTGGGTCGGTGCGAATCTCTGGTATCAAAAAAAAAAACCAACTTTAAAAATTTGTGCTCGCTTCGGCAGTACATAAACTAAATTTGGAATGATTAACATGGCCTTGAGCAAGGATGACACGCAAATCCGTGAAGCATTCCATATCTTTGTTTTTTCAATTGTTTCTTTTTCTCCTCTTAATTTCTTACATATCTTTTTTTCCTTCTTCCAATTTTGCATCTGGTAATATGAATAACTGGTTGGAAGACAACACTGTGCATCACAACAAATACTGCGAAATTCATATTACTTAAAGTGAAATTCTATATCACTTGTAATTTTTGTTTTAATACTATTTTGGGGTCCGGGGAGACAGCTCGGTGGAATAAGCGCTTCCCTGGCAAGTGCAAGGGCCTGAGTTCAATCCCCAGTTCCGCAAAAAAAAAAAGTAATGTTTTGTACTTTACAGAAAGAAAAAACATGTCTCAGTCCAAGGTTATAGCTCAGTGGCACAGTGCCTACCTAGCAAGCTCAAAGTCCTAAATTCTATTCCGGGCACATACACACACACACACACACACATACACGCGCGCGCACGCACGCACACGCCCACACACACACACACACACACAACTTGTCCTAAATTCTATTACCAGCACACACACACACACTCACACCCCTTGTCTCCCAGCCAGGATAGTGCATGCGCATGTTCAGGATCTCAGCACTTTGGAGGCTGAGGCAGGAGGACTGAAAAGTCGAGCCCAGCCTGGGCAACTTAGTGACTTAGGGAGACCCTATCTCAAAATTTAAAAATAAAAATTACAAAACGGCTGGGGATGCAGCTGAGTGCAAAGGCTTTGACTTCAATCCTAAGCACTTAAAAAAAAAAAAAAAAGTCACTTCCTGACGTTCAGCGCTCCACAAGGCTGAGCCTCTCTGGTAGAGCAGCGCCACCCGCTGTAGATAGGTAATAATGAAGGCATAACG